TTATGGTAATCAGGAACTAGGTCGGAGGATTTCAAGCAAGAGAAAGGCATGGTTTAATTTGTTCTGTAGTATGGTCACTTTGATTACAGTGTGGAGAAATTGCTGGATGGGAAAATTTGGAAAGAGAATTTTAGCTATGAGGCTAATTTTTTAAGACTTAATTAAACTTTAGTCATTATTAGTAGTAGTATTTTAAATTTGCTGTAGGGCACGTGCACTCACCAGAGAGTCACAGAAAAAGAGAGAGAAGGAAAGTGAGAAAACAAGTCACCAGATCCTGGACTTGAACTCCAGTAGGACATGTGGGAGTCCAGCACCTTAACCACCACTCCAAAAGGCTATTCTAATTATCTGAATAAAATATGAACATTGCCAGTTAAAAATATTACCAGCAAGAAAGTCAAAAACCAGAGTAATAGAATCATGGAACAGGTAATCAAATAGCTCTCTGTGATGAGAGAGACTGGTAGAGGCTGACCTTGGCAACTGAATGATGACAGCGACCCCAGGTGAAATGAGACATACGAAAGTAATCAGAGGTTAAAGACAGACAGCTTCATTTTTGACATTTCAAATTCAAGGTGCTTTTTTATTTTTCAGTAAGATCTAAGAGGCAATTAAAAATGCAAATCTGGAACTCATTAAAGATAACCAGACTCAATATATAAAATGTAGAGTTTATGGGGGTGAGATGTGCTCTGTGAGGCTGACCCACGTGGGAGGGCTCTGAGTTCATGTCCAGAGCATGCATGCTAACATTGGACATGCACATGCTTGTGACCCAGAGCTGACTGAGGTTGCAGATGGATCAGGATCTGAAGACCCTATTGGACGTGCCTCTCTTTTTCACTCTTGAAAAGAAGGAAGGAAAAAAAAAAAAAAAGGAAGAAAGAGAGAAAAGAAGAAAAGAAAGAAACATTAAAAAAAAAAAAAAAAAGGGACCAGCAGTTAGCGTAATGGCTATGTTGCTGGACTCTCATGTATTCGACTGCGTTTGCTTCCCGGTCCAGATGGCTTAAACACACGCCAGGCGCATACGCGTGCGTGCCCAGGATCTGGAGAGGAAAATGGAGGAGAAGGGATTGTGGCGTGGCCATCCCCCCTGGGGGGTGATTTCTTGCTTTCTATCTCTCTGTCTGGCGAGTGCACGTGCCCTATAGCAAAAAAAAAAAAAAAAAAAAAAAGAATATACAGTTTTTGGTGCACTGATAACGAAATCACGAAGGTAGAATGCATAGAACAAAAACAGATGAGAGCCAAAGTTAGAATCAAGAACATTAATCTCCCTAAACAGAAAGGGAAGGAAGAGTTCATAAAGGAGAATAGAAAAGAGTAGCCACAGAGATAAGAGAAAAACCAACAGATTTACTATTAAAGAAACCATGGAAGAGACAGTTTCAAAGACAAAGTGGCCAGAAATATCAGCTGCTGGAGAAAATTCACATGTGAGAACTGTTTTAGCAACAAAGGTCTTATGGAAGAGCCTGGAATTATGGTAAATAGTGAAATAACGTATTTAAAGGGTGACTGGGAGATGAATTAGGCTAGGAAAGTACAAATTGGTCTTTAAAAGTTTATCAAAGAAAAAAGTTGTTAAGTGATTTGAGAACACTTTTTTCTGTTTTTTTCTTTTTTAATTTAAGATACGTAAATCCTGATCAACTTCAAATATTAATAGAAATAAGCTAGCAAAGAAGGAGAATGTTAAGATGCTGGAAAAAATGTAATGTGGGGGAACAGGAAGCTAGGAACCCAGTTTAAGAAGAGAGTAGCTTTAAACTTAGGAAAAAGTGCCACTTTACATGGACAGAAATGTCAAAAGAATGAAAAAAAAAAATACACACAAGGCAGTGAGTTGTATGGTAGGAAACCAAGAAAGCACCATAATAAGACTTTCTTTTTTTTCTGAAAATAAGGTGGCAATTATTGGCTGAGAGTGAGTGGAATAGAATATCTGGGCTTTATACTCTATTGAAAAATCCATTTCATATTCATTTATAAAATGCATCTGTTAGTGTCACAATATAATTTTAAGTATAGCACCAGAAATGTAAAATACCAATGGCTGTGGGCCAGCAGATGGCATAATGGTTATGTCACCGGACTCCCATGTAGTTGACCACAATTCGAGTCCTGGACCCAGTGGCTTAACACTCACACTGGGGGACCAGCAGGTGACATAATGGTTATGCCACTGGACTCGCACATTGTCTACCATGGTTCAAGTCCCGGACTCGGAGCCTTAAACTCACTCTGAGTGTGTGTGCATGTGTGCCCAAGATCCTGAGAGGAGAATGAAAGAGAAGGGATTGCAACATGGCCATCCTCCCTAGGGGGCGATTTCTTGCTTTCTGTCTCTCTAGTGAACACATGTGCTCTATAGCAAAAATCTCTCTCAAAATAAATAAATAAATACATAAATAAATACATAAATACTCACACCAAGCACATGTGTATGTGTACCCAAGATACCAAGAGGAATATGGCGGAGGAGGGACCATCACCCCTGGGGGCTGATTTCTTGCTTTCTGTCTCTTTGGCAAGCACATGCACCCTATAGCAGAATATCTAAAAACAAAACAAAAAACAATGGGCGAAAATTTATTGTGGTATTTTCATGATTTCACCAAGAATGGCATAAAAAATTATAGAAAAAGTCAATTCAAATTCTAAAAAGGAAAAATTAAAATTTCATGGCAATCTGTGATAAAAGTGACTTTAGTTATTGTTTGTCATTCATGACAAACAATACGTACCAGACCAAACATTGTGTGGCTATTAAAAGATGCATAAAAAATAAATCATTCCTTTTGATTGGTTGACTGACACAAAGAGCCCAGCACATAGGCTGTTATCCAAGTTCAATACAGAGCTCACAGAGCTTGTGCTTCAGTGCATTGACCAGGAGATCCATCCAATAACATGCACATCCACTTTGTTGCTGAATATTTTGCTTCTCAACTTTATTTTTGTATTGCTTAAAAGAAGTAAGTCATTGTTCTAGCCACTCCAAATCCTGTCATAAAATCAAGCTAAAACTTGAGGCCAGATGGTGGTGCAGTTGTATATCACGACACTCTGAGAGACAATCTTAGGAAGATTCACAGTTCAAGTTCATAGACTTTCCTGAGTATGCAGGGCACACACTTGCCCATAACCTGGGGGTGCCTAAGGCTGGGGTGGATCATGGCATCGGGGCCATATATGAAGGGTTTTCTCTCTATCACTCATGGAAAAAGTAAGTGAAATGTGTATATATATATAGATGTATATACATATACATCTAAATGTATATGACAGAGAGTCAGAAAGCAATAAATCACTTCCCAGGGGGAGGGCCACACTGCAGATCCCTTCTCCTCTATTCCCTTCTCAGGATCTTGGGCATGCATTAACGTGCTCTCTTCGTGACTTTGAAGTCACCAGGTCCAGTACTTCTATTCCCTTCTCAGGATCTTGGGCATGCATTAACGTGCTCTCTTCGTGACTTTGAAGTCACCAGGTCCAGTACTGAAACCTTGGTCAGCCATTTGGGAGTCCAGCGATGTAACCATCCGCTGGTCCAAATAAGTGAACTTTAAAGCTAAAGTCCAACCCAAATGTCCTCTCTAGTAGAGGAGGGCGTATGATAAAAACCAGTAGGTATGTGCCAAAGAGGCAAAACAAAAGGGTGACTTTGCTCTTTGTTTTATAACATTTGTTCTCATGGGAACTAGTTCATTCTCCAAAAATAAACAAGTCTGAAAGAGAAGACACCTTAATGACCTAATCACATCTTAAGGGCCCCAATCACCTCTTAACAACATTGCTTTAGCATTAGATTTTAACATGTTTTTGGCTGGGAAAAACCACATCAAAGCCACAGCAACAGAGTTGTTTTTCTGTTTTTTGTTTCTGTTTCTTAATTTCTGTTTTTGTTGTTGTTGTTGTTGTTTTTTAACTACTTGAGGCTGCATGCACTCTTTAGAGAGAAACAGAGAGGGGAAGAAAACACCCACAATGGAGGTAGTCACACGACAGCACTTTCTTCTTCATTTCTCCATCCCTTTGGAACCTTGGGCATGCATACACGTATACAACGTGATTTCTTCGGCCACCGGGGCCAAGACTTGAGTTGCAGTCGATTATGTGGCATCCAGATCCCCTTAATCACAAAGCTACAAGGCCAGTCAGCAACAGAGACTGATGTAAAAGAAAGAGAGTAAAGTTTTATTTTGGATACAGCAATAATAGCATAATAGTATTGGTTTTTCAAAGTAAAGAACTTCTTCAAAAATGTTTATATTAAAAACTGAGTGGACCAGTAAGTGGCATAATGGTTACATTGCTGAACTCCCATGTAGTTGACCACAGCTTGAATCCTAGACCAGGTGTCTTAAAACTTATGCTGGACACATGTATATGGTTGCCCCAAGATCCCGAGAAGAGAACAGAGTAGACTTGATTGCGGCATGGCCATCTGCTGAGAGGGTGATTCTCACTTTCTGTCTCTCTTTCTCTGTCTCTCTGGTGAATGCACATGCTCTATAGCAAAAATCTCTCTCTAGGGGACCAGCAGTTGGCATAATGGTTATGTCGCCGGACTCTTATGCAGTCAACCACGGTTCGAGTCCCGGATCTGGTGGCTTAAATTCATGCTGGGTGTGTGTGCGTGTGTACCCAAGATCCTGAGAGGAGAATGGAGGAGAAGGGATTGTGATGTGGCCATTCCCCCGGGGGTGATTTCTCACTTTCTGTCTCTCTGTCTTTTTAGTGAGTGTTAGTTGCCTATAGCAAAAACTTCTCCAAAAAAAAAAAGAAAAAAAAAAATCTCTCTCAGCAAAACAAACAAACAGATGAGTTCTCTTTCAGTGATAAAGTGTGTGTATGTATGAGATGTATGAGAGAGAGAATGCGCTCATGTGCACTCACACGCTCATAGCTAAGGAAATATATGATAAATTGCATTCTAACTCTCATTAAATTAAGGACAAACTTATTTTCTGTCTTTTCCCTTGCAGAACTGTCAACATCACACTGCTGGTGACTTCTGTGAACGATGTGCTCTTGGATACTACGGAATTGTCAAGGGATTGCCAAATGACTGTCAGAAATGTGCTTGCCCTCTGATTTCTCCCAGCAACAAGTAAGATTGAGAAACATGACCATATTTTCCAATCAAAAAAACCATCTGTCTAGCACATGGGCTGTCTAGGATTTGGCTATTTTTTTCCATGTAGACAAAAATCTCAATTTAAGACATATATTTTTTAAAAATATAAAGACAGGACAAAAGTGAATATATAATACTCTATGGTTCATATTTTCTTTGAAACCCTGTCCCAAATAAATAATGCTTACTAATTACAATGTAAACACTAATATTAACGTGGTATATTTATTAAAGAGATGATAGATGTAAAATGTGCATGGTTTTAGAAATATCAAGGACTAGTTCCGTCATAAATTGAAGTATGAAGGATTGTTTGAGTGCATAGTATATCAGTTTCATGACTGTTTCCATTTATTTTGCGTGTTAAATTCAAGATTGGAAAGTAATTATCAAGAAAACAATTGAAAAATAGTACAATTTAAGCAACGTGACTTACTGCTAGGCTCCGAAAAAGTCACTATTTCTGGGAATAACAACCCCCTATTTGTTAATATGGTCTGAGCCTGGTACCATGGAAACACAGCCATAAAGGGAAACAAAAGCTGGAATGTCTTATTTCAGTACTATTTGAACAGTCTGCATGGCTTTTTATATTGATGAAAATCACTAGGCGTTTTCATTTACTTTTTTGCTAAGACTTTCTACACTTTCTAAGTGACTTTCTAGATGTCAACCTTTACTTGGTAGAGTAGTTTTTTTCCTAAGAACTTTCTTTTGAAAAGTATGTATGGCAGTTTGTTCAGAATTAGAATTCTGGGCATCTTATCTTAAGTATAAAAGAACCACAAGCAATTCGGCAGAGAGTTTTCCTCCTCTGCTTACTCACTTTTCTTCTTTATCTTTTGCCTCATGTACATTATGAAAACATTGTCATGTAAATAGTCTCCATTTTCTCTGCCTAGCTCCTCTTTTGTGTTGACTGGAATCACTAATCTTATACAAGGTGTGAAATGTAAATTTTTAGGTAAGTTTTATATTGATGAGGAGAATATACACGATCTTACTGTTCATCTAAGCACCAAGTGGTAGATGTATGAAAAATAATATTATTTTCATTTCCCTTTCCCTAACTTCTACCTGGTGCCCAAATTTAAACAAGAGAATATTGAATAATTGATTATTTACTAACTTGTGGACCAGGCTAACCTGTGGCATGGTGGTTAAGGCAGCTGGTTTCCAAATGGCTGACTGTGCAATTCAGGTCTCAGACCTGGTGGCTTGGAAAAACATGACAGGCACGTGTGTGTGCATGCCCAAAATTCCAGGAGGAAGGAGGAATGGAGGAGAAAGGGTCAAGCATGACCATCCCCCATAAGGGAGGCTTTCTTACTCTCTCTCCTTTTCTCTCTCTCTCTGTCTCTCTCTTTCTGGTGAGTGCATACGCCCTCTGGAAAATTTTTAATTTAACCACTTTGATTAGAAAATTCAGTAATGATACGAAAAGCTACAGGAGATATAAAAGAGAATCTTGCCATTTCTTAGAGTAGCTCACTATAAAATATGTGTCTAACAAGAAATCAGCATAGGGGCCAGCAGGTGGCATAGTGGTTGAGGCATTTGACTCCCATGTGTCTGTTTGAGTCTTGGAACTAGCAGCTTGAACCTCACACTGAGTACACGTATGTGTATGCCCAAAATCCTGAGAGGAATATGGAGGAGAATGAATTGCAACATGGTCATCCTTCCCTGGGAGAGATTTCTTGCTTTCTATCTCTCTGTCTCTCTGGCAAGTACACAAGCCCTATAGCAAAAAGTCTCTTAAAAAAACAAAAGTCAACTTGAATGTAAAGAGAATCGAAAGACATAAAAATACCTTATTTAATATTAGAATCTTCAAGAATATACTAAAGAAAGTCATTACATGTATACTAAATCTTAAACAATGGATTGAAGAATGGTTATTGGTGGGGAGAGTAGGAGCTTATATGAGGAAAATCCTAGAAAACAGAAAACACAAAGTATGTTCAAGAACTACTAAGTAATTTGATCTGTTCTGTGACCTGGTGGTTAGGGCAGCTAGATCCTGCATAACTGACCCCACAGTTCACATACCAAGCCAGGATGCTTGAGAAATACAGTGGGTGCATGTGCATACTTGCCCAACATTCCGAAGGGAGAGAAGATGAAAGGGAAAGATTGCAGAGTGGCCATTTCCATAGGGGATGCTTCGTCCTCTCCCTCTGTCTCTCTCTGAGAAGTGCACCTGCCTTCTAGCAAGTAAAATGGAAAAATAATGTAATAACAGAGTTTGGAGCATAGAGTTCAGATAGAAGTGCGTAACAGAAGAAAATGAACGGGAGAATGGAGATCCTATCACAGAATCTTTGAGTAGCACTCTAAGAAATAGCCATTTAATTTTCTATGTAATAAAGAAATAGTATAAGATTTTATTTTAAAAAAGTTAATATGATCAAAGCTAAACTATTAAGAGAAACTTGAATAATAATGTATTGAAACCAGTAAAGAAAAAAAAAAGCAGAAAGACCATTTAAAATTCTATTGCAATAGCCTAGGCAAGAGATCGTTGGAACCTAAGATAAGTATTAGTAGCAAAACGAAGACAAGAGGGTGAAAGTGAGAAAATTATTGCAGACAGCTCTTCAGAATTGCTTCCTAATTAGATGTGAGGGATGGGAGCCTAGGTGAGAGTTGAAGACAGGTTTTCAGCCAGGTTGTTCCCCAAAATGCTTGTGTCATTACTTGAAATAGAGGAACCAGGAGAAAGCTGCTGCTAAAGAAAGACAATTTATGTTTCAAATAAGATCAAAATGATGTGGAGGTTTTGTCTAAATGGAGCTATGCAAATAACTACAAGAAATGGGAAGCTGAACGCTGCAGGAGATAAAGGAAGGGATGCATTCATAAGTAAATTAAAGTTGGATAAGATTTTTCTGGGTACTTTTACCCCCAGGAGAGCACATGGAAAGAAGGAAAGACAGGACTTCCTATGTCAAGAAAGCCAAAAGTGGAGGAGAGCCAAGGCAGGAGCAGTCAGGGGGACAAAGTATCCCAGGGAGCATTGTCACTAAGACCAAGGAAGAGGAGAGCAGAGCACAGGCATGGCGCTTTCTCTAGGGGACTGAAGAGATGGTGGCAACTAACTATGAGGGCCACTGATGGGTATTAGCAGACCATAGTGAAGCAGCCAATTAATTATAAAGCTTGAATTTGTGGTTTTAACAAATTTCAAGAATAAAAGGAAAGACTACAGGCCAGCCAGTGGCATAGTGGTTAAGGCTGCTGGATCCCATGTAGCCACCTTCAGAGTTCGAGTCTTGAACCTGGTGAGTATGTATGGATGTTTGCCCAAAATCCTAAGAGAAGAGTGAAGGAGAAGGGATTGCAGTGTGGCCATC